GTCCGAGTGGCGTGGGTATACTAAGATATACACGTGGAGGCGTAGTGGTATATTCTATATATGGTAACTAGGTGGATAAATAATGGTCCGTGGGCACTTGAGACTTGTGGCGCGGAAAAACCGTGACACGATGAGACTGCGTCGAGCTCCCTGTTCCAAAGATACACATCCGCGTCCACCATTTCGCCATCTTCTCCAACTTCCACTCGAGCTTCGGTCACTATGTACGCCCCTCCTTCGAAATCGTCAAGCTTAAGCCGCTGGACCTTGTTCTGAGGCAAGATAGCAAGCCGTCGACACTTGATGTTGGATCATGTCTTATCAGGGCAGGGTAGTCTTTACCATGCAGAGAGAATCGTGCGTATCCCCTAGGCTCATAAATCAGCCTTCGTACAGGAAGACAGTCATTCCTTATACTCAGGCTGAGACTATCACGGGGGGTCCCACGCAAAGTGTCGTGAACCGCGTGAACCACGCCACGCGGTTCACGGCCCAAATAAGGCAGGTGCCCGCGTGCGCGCGCACCTAAGCGCCCAAAGACTTTGTGCGCCTAACTGTCGATTCATAGTTTTCAGCGCGTGCCTCACGCGTTTCATGGCAAACTCGGGTGCCAATCACGCTTTCGGGGCCCCGATTCACACTACGGTTCACACTTTTTGGTGAGGGTGCCAAATACTTTGCGCGCCTGCGCCAGACTTTGCGCACCTATCGCGCTTTTTGCGTGCACGTGACTCGCGGCTCGGCTCCCCCCTGGGCCAACAGCTTGCGTCCCCCCCCTCCCTTTTCAGAGCTTGTGTCCTCGCACTCACACCACGTTCGTCGACGTGCACTGCCATCCGAGAGATCGACACCGCCTCTGCGCTCCTCGATGCCGCTCCAAATGTCCCTGCCCTCCCCCACCGCATCTGCGCAACGGCCACAACGCGCCAGCGACCAAGCCCTCGTGCACGACTCCTCGACGCCAATCTGATGTTCCCACCCTCCCCCACCCCGCCGCATCTGTGCGCAATCACTGCATCTGCACGCAATGGCCACAATGCGCCAGCGACCAAGCCCCTCATGCGTGACTTGACTCCTCGACGCCGATCTGATGTCCCCACCCTCCCCCACCGCATCTATGCGCAATGGCCACAATGCACCAGCAGTGACCAAGCCCTCATGCGCGACGTCGCCGCGTGCTACCCCGGCGTGGTCGTGTCATCCCCTGCTTCGGTGCTTCGGTCGGTACGTCTTTCCCCGTCTCGCACCCAGCACTGCTCTCTGCGTGAGTCCCACTCTATCTAATTACTCTTGTGCGCTGCAATCGCTCCAGTCCACAGCTCATTGATGGCGTGCCCACGCAGGCGACGCAGGCTATGCACGCTACCACCGCCGGTTTGTCCCGCCCTCCACACCCGCACAATCCGCCGCCTTTCGCGCATGTCTCCTGCCCTCCTGCCCTTCCTCCCTCCACCAACACCTCTCACCAACACCTCTCACCTGCCATCCTCACCTCTCTCCCCTCTCTCTGCGCCGACCTTGCCAACGCACCCATCTGCGATGCTCGGCGAGGTCAGGATCGACCGCATGTGCCGCGTTCCTACGCTCCCCCTGCAGAGCCGCCGTATGCGCGGACGGATGACGAGAAGGACGAGTGCAGATGGACGAGGAGAGAGAGCTGTCGCCATGATACCGCTGGAGCACCAGCTCACCATCTTCGAAACGACTAGCAGGTTCGCGCATCCGACTGCCAGCGGCAACAACGTCGTCCGCCGTCGCAAGACACTCAGTTTCGGACCAGTGCTGCCGCATTCCATCTACCGCAGGGAACCTCTCGCTACTCGCTGTGTCCCAGCCTCCTCGGTGAGCCTACCGACCCATACGACGTGGCACAGCGCTTCGTTGAGGACCTCATCCCTGATACTGCTGCGGCCAGCCTCCTTCGTCATTCGCAAGGACTCGTCCGTCAAGGCCAGGCTCACATTCGTGCAGGTTCCTCAAGGTGAATCCACTGCATAACACTTGGGGACATGGTCATCTGCATCACGGAAGAGAAGGGATGGAAGAGGAGGTATTGGGTGGGTGGAATCCCATCTCGTCTGGATGTGCCGAAACGGGCCACGAGCATACGTGGAACAACACGAATATGTATAATATTATAATAATATTATATGCTCTAAAAATATACTAGGTTGCCCTACTGCTGGGGCGCTGAGCTGCAGTCGAGATCGCCACCACCCTCATGTGAGGTAGAAGAACCCGCAGCCTTGCTGGGTTGCCGCTTGGGCTGCGTTCTCCTGCGGAACTGGGACAGCGAGAGCGTACCTCATTCATCGTCAAGCTCATGCACGGCCTCGGCCGATGTCTTGCCATCGTTCAGCTGCTTCTCGATGCACGAGATGAAGTACATGAAATGGGCCCACAGCTGATGAGCCTAGTAGGATTGGTCAGCCGGGGACAACTCGACTGTTCAAAGCCTGAAGGGGCTCACCGTGGCATCGTTGTGTGGTCGCCAGCTTTGCTGCCAGCCCCTCCTCGTCGTCGTGTTTTTTTTGTGCACCCCACAGCCACTCGAGTTCACGCAGAGGTGGCTTGCGACTGACATCTGCAACACGCTCGCCTTCTGCCCAGGCTTCCCATATCGCAGCGACAGAACTGTAGCTGCCCAAGGTGGCCAGCTTCCAGCAGCTCCAAACGACATCTGGCTGCCAGATCTGGGAAAGAATGGCCGTCCAGGAGCAGGTTGCACTGGTGATAGCAGGGTATGTGTAGGGTGGCACAGCATGACGGTCATGAAATGCGGATCCGTCGAGCAGAATGGGGTCGAGGGCAGTATGAGCTGGAGATGGCCCAGGAAACAGAGGGAGAATGGTATAGCAGATGCCGTTGTGCACCAGGCTGTAGGGCACGAGCATCGCCGGTTCGTTCACAGTCTGCGGAGTGGTGGCCGTCCACATCGCATTGCTCAGCCTGTCCCGGTGGTCATTCTGAAGTCATCCACTCGATGGTGCTGCATGCGAGATGACAACATCCTCGCCTTGGTCAGTAGTACCAGATGGAGGTGTTGCAGCATCCCGATGATTGGCATTGAGACCTGCCTCCAGTGCATCCTGCGTGTGAGAGTCCGAAGCCGGCAGAGGTGTCGTGTGAGAGGCAGGTGAGCAGGAGTGTCCGCAGCAGCAGTGCATTGGCTGTGAAGCACAGATGACAGGTGGAGGTTGCCATGACCGTGCAGGTGGAGATGGGGACCCATCACGAGTGAGGATCACCCACGATACCGGCTTTGAGGGGGAGAACACGGCCGTGCGTCGTGCAATAACGCCGAGCTGCTGTGAATGCTCATGAAGAGCGGACTCGATCTGCCGCGAACCAATGGAGATTGACATGAACGTGCTCTGCGTTGCACTCTCCAAGAAGGTGACGGCGGTGTCCATCGCATCTTGTGCCCTGGCATCCTTCGCTCGGCATGTGGCGGGCCAGCTTGCGAGGAAATGTCGGGCTTGCTCGCTCTGCAGAACCTCCATCTGCTTGAAGAGTGCCGACTCAGGGAACGCTTCGTGGATCGCTCCCATGGCCTGTAACAATGGTCAGAATGGTCAGCTAACTCGCGAGATGCACTCTGGCGCTGCTGTAGTGCTTGCTCACCCACCAGAAGAAGGGCTGGAGCTGCTGTAGAAGCTCCAGGAAGTTCACCATGCCATGGTTGATCTTCTCGTGGGCATCCATGCTTACGAGGGCTTCTTCCACGAAGGGGAAAATTTGGCTCTGCAAGTCTTGTGGCACGTCTACTGTCACCCACGGCATGTCATACTGTTCTGCTACATAGAAGCTGGCGAGTGCGGTCACAGCCTAGATACAGTCTACGTGAGCCATAGACTCCGTGGGCAAGCAACGCGATGTCCGATTCACTCACCGACTTCAGGATCTTTGACACATATACTTCACGACACGTGTTGCCTGTCCAGTGGCCCACCCCATCGATCTCATCCATGTTCACACTGCATGATGTATTGACCATTGACCATCAACTCATATCCATGATCAGCTCGAGTGATGACTGACCCCATATCTTCCATAATGCCAGGCAGAGTACGGCGTGCCAGATGCATCTTCTTGGCCGACTTGATGCTGGTCGGCAGGAGAAACATCTTGTACATCTTCTGCATCGCATCTGCGCTGCATGGTTCACCCACTTTCTGGCCAAACAGAAGTGGCACCTGGAATGACAGGTAAGCTGTATGTCAGGCCACCGAGCGCAAAGCACAGAAGGGCACATCGTACCTTCCGCCATGTCGAAGCACGAGACCAGTTCCAACCACCAACCTGCTCGAGGATCTTCTCTCGGTCGAAGATGTAGTGCAGCAGGATGGCGAGCACACCAATCGAGCAGTGCAGCGGGTCACGATGAGGCAGAACAAAGTTGTAGTCAGGTTCCTGACACTGCGAACACAACGTGAAGCTGTTAGCATCTGCATCGTGACGATGAATGGCTGTGGTATAGTAAATGTACCCCTGGCTTGGCCACCTTCATCTCATGGTACAGTGACAGGACACCAAACACAAACCGTCTGAGCCCGCTTCGCCTTCTATCAGCAGTGGTGTAGTCAGATATGTAGATCTGGTGAGGCTGGATGCAGCATATGAGCAGGTTAATGAGCTCTTCGCCGCGATTGAGCGTCGTGCATTGCCACATCCACGAGAAGTGTGCCTTGATGATGGACGGCACTGGTGGTGAAGCCATCAATCAGATGTAATCGACTCAGAATGTCCGCACTCACGCTGATTCAGTCCCATGAAAATGGACTTCTTGACCTCTTCGAAGTGGTGCGGGAGGATCTGTGAGTCGAGGATCGTGTTGGACGTCACGTCGAAATCTTCGGCACTGTGCAAATCAAGCTGGTCAGCTCGTAGAATCCCTAAAACAGCGAACGAGAGACATACTCCAGGCGCACACATTGCGCCGTCACCATCAGCACCCGGTAGAAGTCGAGTGCACGGGATGTCATTGCCGGCCGCGTTTGATCGAGAGCGGGGTCGTCATCTAGCTGCCGCCTCTGCATGCGGCTGAGCATCACCACGATTTTCTTTAACGAGCTCTGAAGGTTGAGAGAGAGTCGTCAGCAGGCCAATGGCAACAAATATGGATGCGAAGATGTACCGCAGAGAGCCTCTGGTTCCCTTCTCTCTCACAGCCTCGACTGGTGAGAAGTTTGCGTGTCGCGGCATACTTCAAGTATGCGATCAGATGGTCGGAGTCAACGATCACGTCAGATATGATGCCCTCGGTAAGGGCCTGGTCGGCCCATCGCTACGAGGCTGTAAGGATGAGATTGTGCACGTTAGTCATAGCACACTATCGGCACACATACCTTCCATAGGTGAAGGACGCTACCCTCTGTCACACGCCCACTTTTGCGTCGAGTGTTGAGGATGAACGCGTCGACCTGCAAGCATGAGAATGGATCAGTACGGCGGTAGGAACTCAATACTGCACAAACGAGATTGACTCACCCATGCTCTCGAGCCATCCTTTGAGCCGTTGCATTGTCCTGTGAGTAGTGACTCATGAGCGATGAGTCGACTGATGGTCATCATGGTGACCTTACCGGCATGGTTGATGCACATGCGAGTACCTGCATCGGGCATCGTATTGTCCTCGCTGTCCAGTAGGTCATCGCCGTCCTCTTCATCGACATCTTCATTCTCCGAATTGTCGTCGCCATGGAGCCCCTGACCAAATGAGTCGCAAAGGTCGCTAGTGTCGCACGTCAAGCATTCGGGGTCGATTTCCGGTGTTTCCTTGCTTGAGGGGACAGCGCTCTGGCTGTGGGCTCGAACAGGTGAGTGCGTGACGTGATCGGATGCATGAAAGACTTACAGTTTACCGTGCGCTGTCGATTCAGGGGCATCCCAAGCCGACTTCGTGCGCCGCCGACGATCGTCCTCATTGAGCCATAGAACGAGCATCGCCTTCATGCCTGTAAGTGGCAGGGACCTCCTGCGTAGCTCATCTTTGAGCTGCGGGACCTTCAGCTTCCAACTGCGGAGCGTACGCCCTCGTCAGCCTCAGTTGAGAGGGGGCCTCAGGTGGAGTACTCACAGCAGACTTGATCTGGCTGGCTGTTCCTGCGCAGTGCCCTGGGAGTCTTCTGGAAGAGCCTGATAAGGTCCGCTCAATGCATGGCTGTGATCACAGGGACGTACTGGCTCGCGGCAGGAACACAGTGGTTCTGACAGGCCCAATCTCGCTCGGTATCTCCGGTGCTTCCATGGCCAACAAGACTGGGTCTATTACAGCACCGAGGTCACCGACAGAGTCTGATAGAGTCATTATGTGAGATTAAGCTAGCGATAAAACGAACGAAGCAGCAGGAGAGGAGGTAGAGGTAGCCGACGACGTCGAGAGACAGGGGGGTGGCAGACGTGCCCTGCGGGGCATGTGACCGTGTTGCCACCATATGAGGCAATGCCCGGTGCTTGGGGGAGAACACGCCAAGTCACAGCGCAGCTGTGAACCCCGTGCCAGTTCACACGATGAAAACGTGAACCGCACCGGCGGAGTTTTCTTGAGATTTCGAGGTCCAGAGGGAAGACCCCCCGTGGGAAAGTGGAGTTTCAACGTGCCGATGGCAATTCGACGCTCGAAGCTTTGGTGCTGGTCGGACACACCACGTGATCGTGTTGTACAGAATGCGTCTGTAAAGGACATCATGCGTAGATCGTGTACCTCTCGTGTATTTTAGCCATGTCATCTCAAAAAACCAATGCAATACAGAGTACAAATCAAAGTGATGAAGAAGCAAGCAGAGAAAGCCCCACTTTCACGTCCTCTGCCCGCCAAAGTGGCCCAAACCACTCCCCAGGCTCTAGGCCCTATCCGCTTGCCAGTCCCTTTTCGACAGCTTCTCACCCGCATACAGCATACCATGGGCAGTACAGTCCAATCTTTGCAGGCTATGGCTCCAACTTCCAAACATACAGTTGGCAGCTTGGGTATTCTACACCCTCTCCTTCTCAGCATTCGTCTAGTGGAACTTTTGATATACCCACCTTCTCTGCGGAGTCAAGATGATCGAAACTCGGAGCCAGAGAATGGGTGCATAAAGAAGCGAGTGATGTACTTGATATGCGGGCAGTAAATGGAGTAACGAGCATTCACCTACTGTCCTTGCTGAAAGCCAAGACCTGCCGCAATTTTGAGAGCATGACCAGAAGTAGCCGTACCAGTCACAGCAACTCAGGTTGTATTGGAGTTCAGCCATGCATGCATCGTCTTGAGAACAGAATAGCTTTTATGCCAGAGAGGGCTCTCGTCATCGGGCAAGTGAGCCTCATCAATCATGAACCAGCGGATCAGGTCTTTGAAGCCAGATATTCACAGGAGCTTCATCATGCGTTCTCCAGCAAGCATTTGAGGGCTCAGGAAAGTGATGCGGACATCTTCACCGCTCTGCAGCTCGTCATAAAGATCGCACTTGTCGTAGTATGCATCGCGGACAGTATCCTCGTTCAGCGCGATTGCGCGCAGCCCAACTCGACGGGCACTCTCACTCTAGTAAATCAAGCCATACATAGCTCTTTATTTCTGTGTGTGAATCCAGCAGAGATATCGTACCTGCTGTATAGAAAGTAGCTTGGTAGGGACAATGTATAATGTGACGCCTCGCTCACCGAGTGCTTGAGCTGCGAGTAGAGGGGCCCAGAAGACTGTCGTCTTGCCCTAACCTGGTGCAATAACTAGAAAGACCTCGCATCCTTCAATGATGTCTAGTCCGTGTTTGATCTGGAATTCTCGAGGTTGCAAGATCCCACACTTTTGAGAGAACAGCTCAGCAAGCCATTCAGTGTTGATTTGAGGGTCGCCAAGAAAAGACTGAGCAGGTTCAGACATATTTGCTACTTAAGACAGGACTTTGACCGTATGAATGCGTTAACGAATGTGCTAGCATTGAGTGACACGAGGAGTATGCAGGAAGACACGCTCAGCCTGAGGTGCGTCCTCTGGTCACATGGTCGCATTGTGGTGGTGGCGGTGGCATGTTGAAACTCAGCGTTCCCACGGATACACTTCTCACTGGACCCCCTGGTGTTAGCTCGAGCCTACGTATCCCCTAAGGTCTGCAGGCTTGATGAGGGGTTGCACGGTATGAGTATTTCTAGAGTCTCCTGTTAGTGCCCAGGCTAGAAGTGGCATTGCGCATAGGGTCCCATATAAGAAGAGAGGTCGCAATGTCTGCCAGAAGATTAGATGTGGTCAGGACAGGAAGCATGATGAACTACAGGCTCCTTCACAGCCTTACTTCGGGCGTTCAGGGGCCCTTCATCATAGGATGGGATTTTGTGCCACGTTTCGATCACTACCATGTGTTCGATCATGATGCAATTACACAGTTTTGAAACTCCACAATCTTAATTGCCCCCAACGCCCTACGACGGCTGCAACAAATCATGTGTAAATAACAGAGTGATGGCATCATATTCCTCCATATAGTAGTACCATATGCCGGAGGTTGTAGAATTACAATAGGGTTAGTGGCATTAAATGTTTCGCACAGGTCCCAAGCTCCTATTCCGACTATTCTATGATTACCATGCCTCTACAACATGCTGTGCTGCTGACTCTGGAAGACATCAGAAAGAAGACCTTAATGAAGCTTGGCTGTGATCCATGTCTTTGGCAAGCACAAGTCGCACAGGAATTGCTGAAGGGCGAGAAAGATGTCATTGCTGTGGCTCCAACAGGTTCAGGCAAGAGACTGACGTTCTGGATGCCATTGCTCTTCCGAGAAGGTGGAATACAGATCATTGTTACACCACTAAATATTCTTGGAACACAAAACCAGACAGAGCTAGCGGACCTTGAGATCAGCGCTGTGGCAGTTAGTGCAGCAACTGCCACTCGGAAGCTTTTTCAGGTAGTCATGCCCTATCTTGCCGCTCGTGACTGTCTAATGGATGCAACAACAGAAAATACAGGATGGAAAGCATCAGGCTATTGTTGTGAACCCTGAAGAGCTGATGAAGGAAGGTGGGGATTTGAAAAGTTATGAAAAAATGACGATTTCACCTCTAAGATCATCAGCATTGTGTGGGACGAAGCACATTATGTCAGCATATGGAGTGCTTTCTGGCCACAATACAAAGAAGCCCACCGTCTTCGATATCTCCTCCCTCACACTCGGTTCCTTCTAGCAACTGCAACACTCCCTGATGAGATCGAGAAGGAAGTAATGTCTATATTGCAACTTAATTGAAAAGATTGTGCTATCTTCCACCAGTCAAATGACCGTCCGAACGTGCACCTTGAGGTTCGCCAGATCAAGTACCCGCTCAGAAGCTTCGGAGATCTCAATTTCCTAATCCCGTCAAGTCGACGAGAAGGTGAACATTTGCAGAAGTTCCTCGTCTTTTTTGATAACATCGATGAGTCCATTACGGCATGAGATATCCTGAAGGCATGACTTCCAGTTGGCGAGCATAGCAAGATCAAATGGTTCAATTCACGAATGACCGCTCAATTTCGCGAAGACACGCTACAAGACTTCGTGAAGGGGGAAATATATGAATTATACTCAACTGATTCATTCGGCATGGTGAGAAGCATGGTATCATGGTACAAATATCAAAATCAGAGCTGAATCTAGTGATAGGGAATCAACATCAAGGACATGGAGATTGTTGTCCAATGACGAATGACCTGTGACCTCAACACACTGTGGCAGCAGTTCAGACGAGGAGCACGAGATGCCAGTCTGACTGCACATGCCATTCTGCTGGTGGAGGCCAGGTACTTTGATGACGAGAAGGAGAAGGCGATAGCACACGTGGAGGAGAAGGATCGGAAGGGAAAGGAAAACATTGCACCTGGTCATAGCAACAGCAAGCGCAAAGCCAATGAATCTGCATCAGGAATGCAGCATGTGAAGAGACCATGACCATCGCCAGCACCAGTGATCCCCCACAGCACAGAGCCTAAGATATCCAGCCCCAACGAGACACTGTCGGGAGTCGAGGATCACAAGTCAAGAAGCACGTTGTCAGCTGGAGATCAGCGCACGATATTGCACGCAGTTGATTACAGCAGATTGCGAGAAGAGTTCCGAGCTGCTGGTAAGAGAGCAGCAAAGCAAGCGAGTGACAAAAAAGCCTCTGAAAGCAAAGAGTTGTCGCCGGAGCTGGATGCACTCATGAATGCGGCGACGCAAGCTCACAAGGAGCTCACAAGTGCTACAGAGCGCCTATCATGGCGTACTATGGCAATGACCAATTAGGTAGGTGAGGCTTTCCATGAGGGTCGGCCTCGTGTACTCACCTTCGCATGACTAGACTCGAGCCATACGCTATGTCAGCCCAACCTCCTTGCTGGCTGCTCTCGTTGCATCATCAGGAACTCCTCTATCTGCTGCTTTCTATGCTCTCCTGACCACTTCACCAGTCAAACAAGTCACTCTGAGCTGGTGATCCTGGCTGCCACACGCATCTCAATTATTCGCAAAGATAATGTCATGACCGATCAGGCGCACAACCTCATTACAGCCCTGGACGAGTTTCGCAGGAAGCACATGAAGGAGAAGTTTGGAGATGCTGTTTTGAAGAATATGGGCCCCAGAGTTGTGATGCGGATGCCGTTCTCGAGCGGCTGGTAGACTGCACTCGGGCCAAGAAGATCACATAGGTAGACGATATACGGAGGGAGACAAAGTGAAATAAGTTGACGCAATATGGAGAAGATGTGCTGAAAGTCATCACAAGGTGAGTACTTCACAGCATCATCTTGACTACATACAGTTTATCTGATGCTGTTGGCCAGTCACTATCCGATCATTCTTCCACTCACGTCTATATCACTACGAAACAAGCCCCATATCGCTAACGAAAACCGTGCGACTGGTGGGTCGTTGGCCGCTAGCTTGATGATCCAATGAGCTTGGGTGAGCCTATTATGGGCTAAAGAATTCCATTCTGGGCAAGTGGCCTGATGTCACGTGACCAACCACTGACAAGTTTCAAATAGGGCAAGTGGTCAGTGTCACATGACCAACCAATGATAATTGCTAAATATGGTAAGTGGCTAAATAGTGTTTGCACAGGAGATTCTGGCAAAGATAGGTTTGCTGTGCTCAGATAGATGATGCATTACAGATGTTTGGTGCAAAAAGAAAGGTGCCACCTAATACTGTGACAAAATGCATCTCTGTGTTTTGGCCTGGATGCCTGCTCAAGAATAACACATGTCACCTGAGAAAGAGTAATGTCCAAGCACTGGAGGCTATACTCTCCAAAGAGAGAAGCCTCATTCTCAGCCCCGAGCGGGGAGAGAATGGTGCAACTCATACATCACAGCTCCTGGCAGGCAGTGCCACATGCAATCACTTTGGAGAGATTGCAGATGAACTCTGCAGGGTTGGTCTGATCGTGATCAGACAACATGACCAGCTTCTCAAAGGCCGTAAGGTAGCTGCAATCATCACCCAAAAGGTGGATGAGATATGTGATGAGACCTTCTAGGACACACAATTTATGCAGCAAGGGTGGAGGACAACACTGTGACCTGCATGTGACATCACCATCGAAAGAGTTGTAGCTGATGTGGAGCTCACGAAGGTCATTATGACATTGCAAGAAACAGTTCAGAGCTGACTGCGTGAGTTCACCCTCAATGCAGAGGACCTGAAGGGTTGTTACAGTTTCAGCGTCACTTTGTGGTCATGTGATTGATTATGGTTCATAGGTCTGGTGGACATATTCTAGGGTTAGCAGTTTTTTGTTTTTGTCATCAGACTCGCTCTGGTATTTGCAAAATTCAGACTTCGTCTCCCGTTTCAGGTTTTCTATTTCACCTACACTTACTTTAGCTCACCAATTACCTGGCTCGCAGTGGCTAACCTCCAGTGTGTTTCATCTATCTTTAGAATAGTGGAACCCCTTGTAGTACCTCAGACTATAGGTCTGCGACTATATAAAGGGGCCTGAACAGTGGAGAGAAGACAACTTCTTTCTCCTTGTTTCCAAGAACCTGTTCCTAAGGAGATATCTCGATACTTCTGATCAGCAGGATCAGTTAGGATCTGCACTCACTTTCAAGGAGTAGTCAAGCTCGTGCACTTGTCTAGAGTCAGGTCAGCGAACCTAGTAACCTTAGGGTGAATGTGCAGTAGCTGCTCAGTGAGATCTAGCAAGGGTAGAGTGAGGACCTTACTGCTACATCATCTACTAGGGTCACAAGACACTATCATAAACATTCTTATAGTCAGGTTGGCTATCGAAGACTTGGTATACATCTTATACCTTTGTCTCTGTCCACCAAGGGGTGGACTAGTACATGTGAGAAAGCACACATGATAAGGAAGGTTCATGCAGAATGCTTCATAATAAGGGTTGACATTGAAAGTCAGTCCAAGATCCAGGTCCAGGATGGTGTAAATATGCCTGGTGTGTTTAGTGTCAACTCGATGATGTTTGATGAGTTGATGGTCTTCAGCATTCATTGTAGTAGTGAGGAGCTGAAGAGTATGGCTGCCTGAGGCTCAAAGACCTTCAGGAAGGAAAGTAAAAGCCAAGAGGTCAGTTTGGACAATGGAGGTGGCTGGAATATCCAGTTGGTGAAATGTCACACTGTGAGTTTGATGAGATTGATAGCTTGTAGCATTTTCAAGAGCTCTATGAGTTCAGACTGAGGAGTAGAAAAAAGTATGGGATGCACGTTCCCCAAAGTGGGCACATCATGGAGAGACAGGAAGAAATAACTGAATTTATCGAATTTCTCTGGATGGTTCAGAGAGAGCGCAACACTGAGACTATAAGAGCACTTAAAAATCAATGAACACCACCAGAAGCTGAGCACTGGGACATCACATCTGTGAATACTCAAAGCCACAGCAGGCACTTTTATCATGATGTACAGGCTGCAATGACGCAAGTACATAGGAACAGCGATGACGTGGAATCAGTGGAAAAGCTGACTAAAATGAATCAACTCATTATCAGATAACAGTTCTGCAATCACCATTACGAGTTCCATAAGCATTCTGGTGAAGCAATCTTCACCATCACCAAAACAAATGATGTGAATGGCTGGACATGATTCATGAAAACTCTTTCAGACTGATGGTTCACATGTCACTCATGACAATGGTTGAGCACTTGATCATGTGAGAGGGGAATAATGCCACTGGTTGGAGACAGCTATCAGCTGTATGATGCATAATCTCTCACTGGCAGCACGGTCAGCCATAAGCCTAATCTATGAGTGGATATAATGTAACATATTAGTTCATGAGGTGATGAACCCTTGTTAGTGAGAGTGATATGAGGCTGTAGCACATTGTCAGTGAACCAATGACATGTGTACCACTACATGATCTTACCTATGCAAAGTCATCTGATGAATAGCAACACTCAGGATGCTGTTTATTCACCATGAGCACAGTGTCACTGCACACGTCCATATCATGCTCTCGAGCCTTATGGTCTTCTAAATGATATATCAGCACTGGCCAGATGCAAAAGGGTTTATACTACCAACCACATGTTTTACATATTGTGCACAAATAGCATTAGTCCATATGCACGTGAAGTGTTTTATGGTGGCATAGGAGAGCACAATGCTTAGCACCAAGCCCATGGTGGAGGTGGAGGTTTAGATGCAACCAGGAGTCAAACGGCAGACCCCTATTAGATGCGACCAGGAGTCGAATATTGGACCTCATATATGTACTCAAACACATCACAATGCAAGAAATGGACACGATAACACTGATGAGAGTAAGCTGCTCTTGCTTTTTTTTTTTTTTGGCATTTACTTATATCCCGTGCTCTGTGCGACATTTAAAGGGGGAAGGGTAACAGGCACTGGTGTACACTATGGTGTGACACATCTCAGGGTAGATATGAAGGAGGGGAAAAGAAAGCCACGGCGGAGGCTGGGAGTGTGGCAATTAGCTGGGGTCAAAAGGTATGAGGCTCGCAAAGGTAAAGGCAGGGGTGGTAGTGATGAAAAAAGCTAGACGATTCAAGCCCTCTAGGTGTTTCCAAAGGCGGTGGAGGTGGGCATGTGTGGGGTTTGTGGTGCCAAATAGTTCCAGTCAGGCATCATCATGCAGAGAGCAGCTCAGCAGGGTGTGGGTGTGTGAGTTCAGAAGTGCAGGGTTGCAAAGGCACCTGCGAAAAGTTCAGTTGAAGCCTGAATTGAAGAAAGTGCCAATGTGGCCATGGCCGGTGACAGCCTGAACAAATTGACCCTCAGTGTTTCGAGAAAAATTGCCAGAGCAAAAAAACAGAATGGAGTGTGGTAGAAGGGGCCCAGGGCCATACTTCATGCACTGCAGTGGGTCGATCAGCAGTCGCATATTCCTCCCACCAGGAGAAGGTCGCTCACTCGTGCGCCCATCTCTGCACCCATGCAAGTGTGGGGTGAATGCTTTTGGCTTGGAACACAGCCATCCTGGCTAGGTGGTCAGCCACTTCATTACCCAGTACACTGCAGTGACCAGGCACTCAGACCAGTGTGATATGTAAACTTGGAAAGTTACCCATGAGCAGCGTGAGGTGCTTACAAAAAGTAATGGAAAAAGATTGCCCCAGGTGAGGGCTCAGGGAGAAGAGATAAGAAAGAGCAGCGCAGTTGTTTGCACAGATATAGATAGTGAAAATGTTAGGGTAGGCAGTAAGAAAGCCGTGAAAGTACAAAGACACAGTTGTGATGGTGAAGAGCTCCACATCAAAGACCTCAGCTCGATGCCTCATTCCTCATGCTTGCTGAAATTTGAGGGTGGAATGATGATAGATGCATGCACCTGCTCCCGCTGCATGATGACGTGGGGCTGGTAGTGGGTGAGAGGTTTGAAAGCCATCGGTGAACACCCAGAGGGCTGTGGGGTCTGAGAAATGAGTAGACAAAAGGGGGGTTAATACAGAGTCAACGTGATGAGAGAAAGCATCCTTGGTGGGAGCAGGAATGAGCAAAGTGATGCACGCTCCCCATGGATGGGGCACCTCCCATGGCAGTTGAAGGAAAGGGTCAGTGCACATGGCGCCGTCCAGCAGTACCTCCTCCAGATTTGTGACTGCAGTTTGTGAGGTGCAGTTGTGTCATATGGAGGGGTTCAGAAGGGTGAACTGTGGTGGATGAGCATGACTCTGATCACTTATGCAGGTGATGACTGTTATGAAGTGTTCCCTGCTAGAACGTTCAGAACCACGTGTGCTTTCTCACACGTACTAGTCCACAGCATGGACGGAGACTTAGATACCAAGTATACCTAACGTCTCCAATAGTCACACAGACTATTAGCAGGGTTTATAGTGTAGTCAAGCCTAGTAGACGATGTAGCAGTGAGGTCCTCACTCTACCCTTGCTAGGCCTTGGTCGCTACAGCTATTGCACGTTCACCCGCAGGTTACT